AATCAAAACCCGCCGATATCTGATCCCAAATTCCTTTTGATACCGATCAAGTACCTATTGAAACTTGAAGAGTTATATTAATATATATATATATATATATATATGTATATATGTATGTATCTGACATAAGTTATTTACTGAAGAAGTAAATGATGGGTGAAATACCTCTGGCTTATGAGAGGCCACCCTTGAGTAGCCAATATCATGGTTTCCGGGAATGTAATAAACAGGGATATCTCCTACTTTGCCTTGTGAATTCAAACCAAATACATGTCTAAAGCGGTTTAAGGATTCCTGCCATCTAACCAAGTGCAGAAGATAACAAGTTTCAGCAACAACGGAAGCTATATATATCCAATGATTCACTTGTCTGACTGTAAAGGGAAACGGAAATAACATGGAGAGGCCTACTCTTCCTCGGACAAAAATGGGCCGCCGTCAAAATAATCACCCAGAAACAAAATCACATCCGGTTTGAAAGGCAAAATAGATTGAAAGAACGATCTCCGCAGGTTCAAATCAGTATAAAACTGTGCAAGCTCCAGAGCAAGAGTTCTCGATGGCAATCGGAACGATGTTTTATCCATGAGCTGTGGAAAAGAAAACCCGACCCTTTTGAGAAGATGAAATTCCAATTCCAAATACTCGCAGAAACAAGAAGAAGAAGTCATTCATTACCTGTGGATCAGCAATAACAGCAACTTTTGTAAATTTTCCAGAGCTACCTCCTCCATCAGTCTGAAAATGAAAGCTGACAATGTTAGAACATCGAATTGGGATCGACGGCCAAATCAAATACCACAAATATAGGGTTCCTACTCATTTTGCTCTTGTAGCTATGATGCCATTCAGACAGATCAAAGTTCCCAATATACTATATTTGCTAAAAGCGATTTTCAAATGTATGCTTCACCATTGCCAGGAACCCATATTGCACAATGCTTCTACCAGAGATTATAGTTGATGGTTCCATTACCAGAAACTAGAATCACTATCACAGATCAATAACAAACAGCACCAATTCTCCTTAAAAGATTTATCCTTTCTTCGGCTAATTTCGAAAAGCCATAAACTTTTACGAACCCAGAGAATGAAATTGCATTACTCAAACACAATCACCCTCTAGCAATGCAATTAAAAGCAAAGTCGAATCGGGTTCCATCATTTCAAAGAAAATATTCAAACTTCTCGAAACAAGATCGAGAATTTCTCGGGAAAATCTCCAATAACACGGATCAGAAGAGCACAAACAACGAGAGAGAGAGAGAGGAGGGCTACCTTGAGAAGAAGGTGGGGCCATGAACAAGAGACGAGAGAAGGAACCCAGAAAGCGAACATCTCGCCGTAGAGAATCGTCGCCGTCCATATGAGGCAGAGAGCAACAGTGAGTTTATGGTGCTGCTTCATCTTTCCTCGTATCTCAGTTTCTGATCATCTGAATCTCTCTCCCTCGAGCTTTTTTGCCTGAGAACTGAGATTTATGGTGTTTTGGTCAACAGCAAATTATCAAAAAACTGAAGAAAAAAAAAACTCGAAATCAAACCTATAAGGTTCAAGGTGCTCAGTTTCCTTCCTTCGAGGAGAAAACCGAAGTTATACCGGAACCAATAAATTTTTTACTTTGATTTTCTCGGTTTACAAAAAAAAGCTTAAACCAGGATTTAATTTTTCTATTTTGGTATTTAGTTTGGATTAAATTGAATTTATTTTTAAAATCTTCTTTAAATATATTATAATTTATTGTATATTTGATTTGGTTATACTCGAATTTTATACCATTTGATTAGGTTCGGTTTAATTTGTAATGTACCAACAGAAATGGCCGCAGCATTAAGGAGAATGAAAACGTCAGGTAGTTGTGACGTGTACTGTCAAAACAGCGTACTTTTATGGTTCTTGCTTGGAGAGGCGAACCACGTCATATAGATTCTCTATCGTTTTAAAAAAATTATATTTTTTTTTTATAAGAACTGTTTAGTATTTGCACGCTACAACATTTATATATATTGAGTATTTAGTTTTTTAAAAATTATATGATGTGTGTAAGCATAAGCATGGCCGTGAACAAAATTCGTAATTCCTTTGCGGAAGAATTTAAAGAAAAATATTTAGTAATCATTTTTAAAATGGATGAGAACAACCAAAATTTCTGCGTATAAGAACTTGCAAAAGCCCTAAACGCCTATTTCTGTGGCTGTTGGGTTTTTTTCTGGCAAATCGCGTTTTCCCAGCTTCACTTGGTAAATTAGTGTTAATGGGTATAATTAGCTTAGCTAAGAACATTTGTCATTGATAAACTATAAATCAAAGACATTTCAGGCCAAAAATATGAAATCTGTTCACCGAAAATCCAGTTTTTGCCATCTGGGTTTTTTTTCTTCTGACCCATCTGCATCTGGTTTGAGAGAGAGAGGGAGAGAGAGGGAGAGGAGGAGGAAGAAGAAGAAGAAGAAGAAGAAGAAGAAGATGATGATGATGGAGAACTGGGTGGCGGTGGCTCTGCTGGCACTCTGCATTTTTGAAATGGAGCCAAGGTTCATCCATGGCGCCACCGATTCATCAGACAGTGGGTTTCTTCTTGCCTGAATATCTAGGGTAAATCATAACTATATTAATAATAATATTCTAGGAATAATATCTTCCTATAGGTTGTGTTTTTTTTTTTCCCTTCTTCTTCTTCTTCCTCCTCGAAAGTCTCCATCTTTAATGCCGAATCCTTCACTTTCTGCAGTTTTAGCTTCGATTCTTTTCCAAGTATTAACCGTTACTCAGAAAGTTTGTCTTTTTGTTAGAAAAATATGTTCCTCTCATCTGAAATAGGTTCGTTTCCAGTGAATGAGTTTGTCTGAATCTGAAATCTTTTTTCTTTCTTGGGTCAAATCTGTTTCCCTACTCAAAAAGATTTTCTTACAGTCTCCTCCAGTTCGCAACAAGTTCCAACGATCTCAACTGATCATTTGCTCCTCTGTATCAGGCTTGTCAATGTAAACTAGAACCAAAATCTCCTTCATGTAACATGAAACCAGAATCTATAACCAAGTGCTGTCCTTTTCTGGTTCTTGGAAGTGACGATTAGCTTCAGAAATCAGGGTTCTTTGTGCAGTTGGATCATATATATCCTTAACGTTTTCTGGTTCAATATGCAGCTTCTGCACTAAACACCATGTATATCGGTATGAATTCTCCATCACAGCTATCACAATGGAAGCCATCGGGCGGCCACCCGTGTGACGAAAACTGGAAAGGCATTACCTGTTTGAGTTCACTAGTTACAAAAGTGTAATACTTTCATTCCAGCTTCCAGTTTCAACCCTGTGTTTTCTCCTTAACATAACATTAACATTCCTCTCTTTTTAACTTGCAGGAAGATACCAAATCTCGGGCTTTCTGGATCGATCAGATACATGCTGGATAGATTGACGGCTGTTACCGAGTTGTAAGATCATCAGCCAAATGTACAGATTTGTAACTCATTAATGCAGTACATGTTGTAATAATCAGAGAAACATGCACTGATCTAAGCAGCAATAACCTTGGAGGTGATTTGCCATATCAACTTCCTCCAAATGTTCAGAGACTGTAAGTTTGCTTGTGCCTTCTTCGATTTCAATGTCTCTGTTTTCGAGTTTTGTTTTTAATCCAAATCTGTTTGATCCAATGGTTTTCAGGAATCTTGCTAATAACCAGTTCATGGGCACTGCTCAGTATTCCATCTCTTTGATTGCTTCCCTTAAATACTTGTAAGTGCTGAGTTCAGTTCAATGGCCCCTTCATTCATAAATGTATTAAAAGAGAATTTTCCATTCAGACATTGATTTCATATGTTTTTGTCCTTTTGAAACACCAGAAACCTTGCTCACAACCAGTTCAAGGGGCCTTTTTTTGTTGACTTCGCGAAGCTCGTCTCCCTCGCTTTCATGGTAAGATCTTTTCCCGAGAGCGTGACCAGTTCAAGTTTTTCCTCGTGTTCCTGAGTTGAACGTGAAAGAAGAAGAAAAAACTAAACTTTTTTGATGAAATATCAAATTCTTTTTTCAGGGATCTCTCGTATAATTCTTTCTCGTGTGCTCTACTGGGCAGCATTACCTCTCTCGCGAGTATACAATCTATGTAAGCATCATCCGTCGCAGTTTTTTAAACGTTTAAAGAACTCATATTGCACGGCCTTGTGTTACTCATCTGTTTAATCGTTTCACAGGTATCTTCAGAACAATCAGGTCACGGGCACGATCGATGTCTTAGCCAGCCTTCCTCTCGAAAATCTGTGCTTAAAAAAAGTGTATCCGTTCAAGATTGTTAACCCACATAGCCGGTTTTTTCATCATACACATCCGTTAATGTTGTTCTTTCGATTCTCAGTAATATTGCAAACAATAGATTTACCGGATGGATCCCGGATTCTCTAGAGGGCTTTAACTTGTAGTAAGTTGTTTCAGTGTGCAGATACCTCGGCTCTTTTAGCACCCTTTTCTGATATGTTTCGAGATTTCCCGCTACAGGAAAGATGGTAACTCGTTTAGCTCGGGGCCTGCACCTCCACCACCTCCTGGTACACCTCCGGTCTGTAGATATCCGAGCCACAAACCTGGAGGAGACAAACACCTGTCTAATGGTGATTCCAGTGACGGTGGCTCGAGAAAATCCGGGATTGGAGCCGGTGGGATAAGGGGCATAATTGTCTCGTTGTCAGTTGTTTCAGCTGCAGTGTCTTTCGTTCTGTTAAAGAAAAAAAGTTCAAAGAGTTCATCCATGGATATCATATATCATTTCTGCCAGATCTTGGCAGCTCCGGTCCCAAAATTCCTGCAAATCAACAACCACTTGCTCTTGCCTCGAGTGCATTACAAGGTTCGTAGCAAGGCTATGCGTACATATACTCGTGTATGTGGATGCTTATAATGGTTTCGATCCTTCTCTTGGTTGTATCAATGCTGCAGAGAATAAGTATATTCAGAGTTTCTCGCCACTTGAAGCGAAGAATCAGGATGTCTCATTGTCGATTAATCTCCGGCCTCACCATCTGACCGACGTAAATCATTTGATGAAGACGATGATTTATCAAGAAAGCCTATCGTTGTGAAGAAGAAACCCGTTATCTTTCCTTCAAACGTGAAACCATATGCAGTTGCAGATCTCCAAATAGCCACCGGAAGTTTTGCCTTAGAGAATCTCCTCGGAAAAGGGACGCTTGGGCGTGTTTACCGAGCTCAGTTTGAGGGTGGAAAGGTATATGTAAACAAAAATCTAAACTTTTCACTAAAATCTGCGCATTTTTCATGACAGCAGATGATGATGACACTGTTTTTTTACTCGAATATCGTCTTTTTAGGTTCTTCCCGTGAAGAAAGTAGATTCATCATCTCTTCCCGGTGGCCGGGCCGATAATTTTGCCGAAACAGTGTCAAAGATTTCTCGGATGGATAACCGGAACGTGACAAAGCTTGCTGGCTACTGCTCTGAACACAGGCAACACCTTCTGGTTTACGAGTTCCATAAAAATGGCTCCTTGCATGACTTTTTGCATCTATCGGAAGAAGAAAGCAAACGGTTGATATGGAATTCACGCGTCAAGATCGCCCTCGGGACGTTAGAGTAAGTCTGAAACATTTTATGGATTTTGCCAATTCGGATAGAAGAAAATAATTCGTGGAAAGTATCGTTGTCTGTAGATACCTTCATGAAGTGTGCTCACCATCTATTGTCCACAAGAATATCAAATCCGCCAATATTTTACTCGATTCGGAGTTGAATCCTCACCTTTCAGACTCGGGTCTCGCAAGTTTCTTCCCTACGGCCGACGAGGTATATATATATTCTCTAAACTCTCTAAATTGTTTCATCAACTTCTTATGCTCCATACTTGCAGATGCTGAACCAGAACGATGAAGGATTCGGATACAGAGCACCGGAAATTTCAATGTCTGGTCAGTATTCTATGAAGAGCGACGTTTACAGCTTTGGAGTTGTAATGCTCGAACTTTTGACCGGGAGGAAGCCATTCGACAGGTACCAACATTTCCTTATCAAATCTGCATCTTCTGATTTCAAGATTGTGTCTGAACACGGATAGTTAACCGTGAAATCGACAAGCAAAGGCTGGCATTTTGGACAAGTTTCAACTTTTCAGACATCGCTTCTATCTTGTGTTTTCCGTTACAGAACGAGGTCGAGGTCTGAGCAGTCACTGGTAAGATGGGCGACGCCTCAGCTTCATGACATCGATGCACTGAGGAAAATGGTTGATCCGTCTCTGGAAGTGCTATACCCGGTTAAATCTCTCTCTCTCGTTTTGCAGATGTTATCGCTCTCTGCATACAGGTAAATGCATTTCTCTGAAGGAATGCCCCATTAAATCACAATCCAGAGACAAGAACGATGCTCCAAACAAATCTTTGAATGCTAACTGGGTTTTGGTTTTGTTGATACAGCCTGAGCCAGAGTTCAGACCACTGATGTCTGAAGTTGTACAAGCATTGCTGGTTTGGGCGCAAAGGGCTAATATGAGCAAGAGAACCG